TTAAACGGATATTAAAGGACTAGGATATGAAAAAAAATAATTGGTTTGGAATTGCTTCAAGACACTCTAGTAGCTGGCTTTTGTAAACACAGTAATAATGCTTTAGGTTCAATAAAAGCGCGGAGTATTTTTGACTAGCTGAGTTATTACCAAAGTTACGCATGGAAGTTCCTCCCGTAGGAATTCAGGTCTGCTCTGAAGCAACAGCTGTTTCCTCTTTCGTTTCACCGGACCCTTCATCCATCATTATCAAGTAATCCTATCTGCATACCTAGACAGTCAACACAATGTCGTTAAATAATACACTAACAAGAATTCATCAGCGGTATGATGACCCAGATACCACTATTTCAAACTTAATGGTTTAAATGTGTAATGGTCAGTGTCACATAATTATGTTTAATAATAATGAATGTAAGCCTACTTTTCAAGTAAGCCTAAATCGAGTTATCTTTATTCTACGTTTTGCAGTTTTATCAGGATTTGTCATTCAGAATACTGATTCAATTTACAAGTTAATCTAATTTCGCTTTAAATACGGGTGTCAATTATACGACCACGGTGATGACGTTACTTGTTTTGGATAAGATCGAGAGAAGCAGTTGCATTTATTTAGCTGTTATTGCATTGCAATACAAACTATTTTTGTGAACACCGGCTACAATGGACACCATTCGAGCGAAAGCAATGCAGATTTGAACAGAATATCGAAAGGTAGGAGTAAGATTTGTACTGATAATTGACATTGATTAGAAGTTGAGAGGTGGTATCACTGTTACGAAGTAGTATTCTCCTGCCATCTGTCGAGCGCAGTGGTCCCTAAGTAATACACACTGTGTATCAGGGGTAGTAGAATGAACGTATGTAAATCCAAAATTGAGATGGGTGTCACGTTTATTTTGTAATTTGTCTTTGAACCTTACACAGATCGATGCCTACTCTTCGCACCATGTTTATTATCATGTAATTGGTCTTACTTCGTGTTCTTTTTTAACTTTAAATTTTGAACCAGTGATCCATTGTAGGGTTTCATGAAAACAAATATGCTAAACATTCCTAGATTCGTCACAAAGATTTGGAAGTCAACACCACTTTGCTCCCAGCCCCTTAATCCATACATAAGGAATAATAAAGCGGTGTATAATATTAACCAATTGTGCAGTGACCGAATGTGACAGCAAAAGCTTTGTAAGGTGAGTTTGTCCATCATTAGACCTAATTCTCCCACAGTACAGCAAAACGCTTTGGCAAACAGTATTGCCTATTTTTGATTTCCAGTTACTTTTTAATATTAATGATTTCAAGTATTAATATTGTGATATCACGTAGCCACTTTTTAAGCATTATATTCACAAAAAGTGGCAGGCCTACTTTATGTTATCGCAGTACATAATATCTGTTACGCCGTTCGTACGAAAGTGTAAAATGTTACCGAGATGCTGCTAATTAAAGTACATACCTTTCTACAATCTGTTTTTATCATGACCCTGATGCACAAGAGAATTTAGTTTGTTAATCACTACACAAGATGACTAACAATGTTCTGATTTCATCCATATTTGTTCACACGATTTCAAATGGACCTTCAAATGATAATCTAAACTTAAAAAGAGTCGTGCAATACAAAATGAACTAGACAAAATATTCACTCTGAAAAACTGAACTGTTCACACAATGTAGAGTGTCATGTTGAACCTCTGAAAAAGCATGTACATAAGAGAAATACTCCATTTAATAAATGGAAAATAATTTATAAATTACACAAGACAAAATAAATCACCATAAACAGACTGCTTATAAGAATATTCACATCTTAATTTGTATATAAAAAATTCAGTACAAAGACACATAGTTCATACACATTATACCATATTAATGTACGTACAAAATAATGAAGTATACTGTATCACACGAGACCTCTCCTCCAACTAGGCACTTGTCTGAAAGAGAATATAAATTATTAATAATTAGCAACTTAATTCTCAATTAATCTTAGGAAATATCAGATTAGGGACATAATTACAAGTTTTACCCTTCACAAACTTTCCTATTTATTTGTTTCCTAAACTATTACTTACAAATGAGGCATGTTTCTGAGATGAAGGACTGGAACTGTACGGTTTACTGTACTCGTTTTATCCTCTTGTTTGCAACGTTCATGCCAAGTGGCTGTATGTCTCAAAAGACGTTCAGGATCTCTGCCCACATTTACTTTCTGCTTCTGTGTCTGAAGCTGTTTCTTCCTCTCTTCTTCCTGCAGCGTTTGGTGCTCGCGTTGTGATACTTTACGAGCAATAAATAACTGAACCTGCTCCCTAAGACAGGAATATATCACCAAGACATTACTGGTGAAGTAATTATTAGTGAAGCAACTGAGGCCATGCATATCAAAACAAATCACTTTTCGCCATATTTTGCTATACCAATACAACCAGTAATGTGACGAATAGTTCCATTATGTTCTATATACACCAACACAGTGATGAACTGCAAAAAAATGTAATTCTTTTTTATGGAGTGTCAAGCCACAAATATTGTGCATGCTTTGTAAGTCTGGGCCTCAGTATGTTAATTACTGGTGAAGCTAAATAGGAATGTTTGTATATAATATATACAAACTTTTACACCACCCTGATAATCATAAAATCATCGAAAAAATAAACACATATTGCAAGCACAAACTTTCTAAAACATCATCCAAAGAAAGTACCTGAAAGTTTTACGCAGAACATTTGCTTGGGCAGCACGTTCCTCTAACTCATGCAACTCGTTCAACTGCTTAGTTAAAATCTTACTCTGCTGTTCACTCAATTTCTCTTGCCTATAGCGTTCAACTTCAAATTTCTTCAAAGCCTTAAGAAAAGAAAGAAAGGGTGGGGCAAGGTAATTAAATCCATTCAAGTGAGGATGTATCAATACTGTAAAATTACATTACACTTAATAATGTACTTCTAAAGACAAAAAGGGTTGATTTGAGAAAAAAAGAGATTATTAAGCACACTAAAAGATTGGAAGATGAAGTAACAACTATTAAGACTAAAACAAGATTTAAAACCTTTAAAGACATCTGGATTAAACAGACAAACTTTGACATCAAAATATACCTGTGATGTTCTTGATGGTAACATTTTTGTATTTGTGCTATGACCTGTTCTACATCCTTAGCTTAGGCCTATGAAGGATCTATGGGATGTAAATAAATTCTATTCTACTCTATGAAATTGAGGTTAGGTATACATAACCTCAAAATCTTATGCATTATATTACACAGTATAAAGAAAAGACTATACCTGCCTCTCTCTTCTTTTCTGTTCACATTCTAGTTTCTTCTGCTTATCTTCCCACTGTTTTTTCTCTTCTAGCTCTTTCTTTAACTGCAACAGTTTCTTCAAAAACGAAATTACACAGCTAACACCCAATCTTAAAACAGCATGCCATTCAGTGTTTATTATATATAGCTAAATGAACCAACATTACAATACAGCATATGTTTATTTCACTAATACATGTGTTATTAAAATATTTAAGCCCTGATGAAAAGTGTATATTACACACTTGTTGATAATTTCACTATTCTATCACAATAGGTCCAGGTGGCTTGGTACTGTCATCAGCCACCTTCACACTGATATAGTAACATAACCTGCAATATATTTTGCTGTATTTATTCACATTTTGATTTCTCCTTTGCAACATAATATTTTAGACAGTAATATCATGTGAAAAACTATGCTTCTTGTATTAAAAACCTGCTCTCATACTTACCATAGTGCACAGAAATTCAAAACAAACCTTGTCTCTTTTAAACCGCTTCTCTTTTTATTTATTTATTTATTCCTGTTTAATTTATTGGGATTTTTATGTTGCTATGATGACTAAAATGTTAGATTTGTACAGAGCTATCAATAAATTAAGTACAAGCTTACAAATCTGACACAGTGCACACCGAACGTACAAATGGACAGTCCAATATAATTAGCAAGAATCCATGTACTACAATATAAAATTTGAAACCCCTTTCATGACTAGGATGTAGTATCAAATATACTACCTTCCATGCTTCAATTTTTTGTTTCTTCTCTGCTGACGACTCCTTGCAATTTTCTAATTTACTTCTTTGGCGCAACTCTACTGATTCAGAAATTGTACCATTTTGTTGGCTGCTTTTATCTTTTAATGCTTTCCATTCTTGAATGGCTTGCTTTTGTTTGGCTTTTAAATTTTCATACTGCTGATACCAGTTTTCATGTAGCAGTATATCATCTGTCGAGATACCTATAATAATCAACATGCACTATATAAAATGTACCATAAATGGCTTACTTTTGTATGGGTGTGAAACCTGGGCTCTCACATTAAGGGAAGAACCCCGACTCGGAACGTCTGAGAACACAATGCTTTAGAAAATATATGGATCTAAGTGGAATGACTGCATAATGAGGATCTCCATAGTTTGTACTCTTCACCCAATATTATTAGGGTGATCAGATCAAGGCATGGGAAGATAATATTAAAATGGATCTTAGGAAAACAGGGTTGAAGTTGTGGAATGATTTCACCAGGATCGGGATAAGGTCTTGTGAACATAGTAATAAACCTTTGATTTCCAGGTAACATGAGGAATTTCTTGACTAGATGCAGGTACTATTATCTCATCGAGGAGGACTCTGCCTTATGTAGTTAGCTATAAACAGTGCTCATATCATTAAATATTCAACATTTGAACTTACCAGGGAGATGCTGTTTCAACAAACTAAGAAAAGTCATTTTCCCTTTGTGTTTATTGCGAAGACGCAGAAATAAAAGATGGTCTTCTTCAGTCCAATTGCCTGTGTGGCCTCCGGTGTCTCGGAGGAATCTTTGAAAAGTTAAAACCTCCTGAACAAGAAAATGCCATATGAAATTTATTTATCTCATTATAAATTTCAAATACATTTTTGTCATTGGCCAAATTCTTGGTATTATTCTTCTCTACAGAAAACTGACTATAAAGACCTCTTTAAAGATATGTAAAGATTGGGTACTTGTGGGTTATTGGGACACACTGTTTTAAAAATAGGTTAGGTTAATGTGTGTGGATAAATGACATAACTTTCAAGTATATGTCATTTATCCACACACATTAACCTAACCTATTTTTAAAACGATGTGTCCCGATAACCGACAAGTACCAAAGATTGTCATTAGTAATCCTGCATGCAGCACCAAATAATTGACAAGTCATCACCGACACACACTGGGCTCACTATACCTAGAAACACACTTAGTATTGTACTACTTGGACAATGGAATCATGGGTTCAAATTCCACTCGAGACATGAATATATGTCCAGTTTCTTTGTTGTCCTGTGACAGAACAGACCTTGTGATGGTCTGACTCTCCACACAAGGAGTCTTACTACCTGTTACATTAAGGACTTAGTGATCACGAGTGTGAATTGGAGAGAATGTTATAGCAAGCTCTCGAGTCTTAGTATATGACACTATCTCAGCATTTGCCTGGAGGAACTGAAGAAAACCATAAAAACTTTAGTCAAGGCCAGTCGCTGGGAAAAGATTTAATTAAACCTTGCATTTCCTGCATACCACAAAAAAATTTTACCATCAGTTTGTTACGTTTGGTGAGAAGAATATCTATATCCAGCCAGCTGTTCTTGTTATTTGAAGGCTGAGAATTTTTCTCTGGCTACCTGCCATAAATAGGTGTTCATTATACGTAGAAGTGGCTAGAAGGATTATGATGATTAACTCTTAAATGCTTGAAAGAAAAGGCTTTGTAACTTACCTCCCTGGTATTGACAGTGTTTGAAATATATGACTTTGAAACACTTTTCACTGGGGGTTTTAATAGAGATGGGTCTACTACAATCTGGTTCCAATCATCACATTTATTTCCTAGGTTCTCTAGGTCACTAGATAAAGCAAGTTCTTCTTCTAATAATTTCTGAAATCTGTACAAAGATAAACATGAAATTAAAGGAGCTAATAAACAAGTAGTATGGTTCTGGCCCAATGCAATGAAATTTTTCTTTAATTTCAAGTTTTTCCATAGTGTATTATAGTAGAAATGATGAGCCGGGATAGCTCAGTCAGTATAGTGATTAGCTACGGGCTGGACGGCCGGGGTTCGATCCCCGACGGGGGCAGAGGATTTTTCCTCTAGCCTCTGCGTCCAGACCGGCTCTGGGGCCCACCCAGCCTCCTCTACAATGCCGGGGTCCTTTCCCGGGGGTAAAGCCGGCCGGGGCGTGATGCTGACCACTCACCCCCATCTAGTGCCGGGGTCAAGGAAGAGAGGAGCTATACCTCCACTCACCCCAAACGCCTACATGGCGTATAGTGGGACAAACTTTACTTTACTTATAGTAGAAATGAGGTTCTGTAAGTTTAAATCTGTCATACTGGTAATTTCTTATAATAAATTCATACAAAATTTGTTACTATATTCATTACCTCTCATCATTCCAAATTTCATCATGAAACTCAAAAATAAATACCCATAATCCTTAGTAACTTGATGCTGAAAAAATGTACACTCGTTGCTTTTGATGAAAATATAAAATTTCAAAATCGTGAGATTTGAGGTTCTTACGGCCGTGAATATGTCAGTGCTACTCTCCTGGTTTGTGATGCTATGTGAACTTTAAAGCAGATACCAATGTTTCTGATAAACATAATGCCTCAATCTTCAGGGCTGAATTTGGAGACAGTATGTTTCTATCTACGAGTCCACATGGTATCATAACCTAGAAGAACAGCAATGACAATTTTACGATCCTTTGAAGATTGCATTTGATTCTCAGTCTCTTAAACAAACATTATCAATTTCATGCTTACCTTTTATTATTAGCTTCACTGAATATCCTTATTTTCTTCTCAAGATCCAACACACTTTTTCGGTAATGTTCTATTTCTGAGAGAAATATAAATATATATATATATATTTTGTAATATGGATGGGTCATTTCACATAAAACATTAATACTAATTTATATATAAGAAGCTACAGAATTTATCTGTCATAAACTACTTAATCTTTGGGAATCTGGAAACCAAACATAGTATGACTGTGTCTCCAGTCCCTGCCAATTACTAACTATTCTCAGGAAATAAAACCTATTATTTTCAGATCCAGACAAGAAGAAGCTTGCAGGAGTTTTTCTAGCAATATTCCCACAGAGCAGAGGAACTACTCAGAACATGACGTACAGAAAACCACACTATAATGACAGGTAAGCTCATAGAATGGACAAAATTTTACAAAAAATATGACTTTACAACATATTTAATATTTACTGTTACCTTAATACAACCTTATAAAGAAAAACTATATATAATGTCAAAATTACCTAATTGTCTAAGTTTGTCTTCACTCCTCACATCATCTCTCAGTTTTTTCAAAGAATGTGAAATTGAAAACACCGAATGATGAAGTCTTTCACACTCATGAAATCTGTTTAAAAAGAAAAAGAAATCTTACAGCCACAGTTAAAATTCCCGTAAGTAAATCCCTATGGTGCTTAACCATTTACTTCTGCCTTAAAAAGCACACCTTAATGGCAAAAATCTTGCAAGTTTGATAACTGACATGGTGAAATAAATAAAAGAAAACAGAAATTAATATTATACCCATTCAATCATGTACCTTTGGGATTCCATCTCTTTATAACTAGCTAATATATCTTGTGCAGCATGATGATCTAAACATTTCATCCTCTTCATTGCAATAGCCTGTGTCTTATCAAGATAGTCTTGCTGCATTTTTAATCTTGTGGTCCGTGCGATGAGATCGGCTGCTTTCACATTATCACTCTTGTATTTATCTTTATTAAATGCGTTTACTTTTTCAGCCATGGTTGTATACACTATAAATACAATAATGAATTACACTAGTAGGGATAACCTACAAAAAGTAATTCTACAATAATAATAACAATAATGATCCTTATGTAGTTCACATTGGTCTGTGAAATACATTTAAACAAAAACACCTATTACAAATATTGTGCTGCAAATAAAGAAAATAGTAAACTGTTCCTTACAGAACTGTATCTACGAGTAGTTCAAAAAGCGGCCTTCATAAATTTGTTGGAGATATAGGATGTGATAATGAATAGTAGATTCATCTGGTTCAGGTTACAAACCAGTTACTAACTCAAGTTCATTAGGTACTGATATTTTCCGCGTATGTAACCACATTCTTCTTCAAAACTATGTAAAGATACTGCAAAACGTAAACATACACAAAACCCAACACCACACCCACAACTGTACGCTCACGACATCTCTGATCATAGCTTTTAAACTAAACACCACGGAACACAATCTATGAGCAGTGGCCAAGAACTCTCTCTGACCAGAGATTAACTCTATAAACTCTGAACCTCGAAAATACATGTGATGCATCTACTTCCCGTCGATAAACGCACAAGTGAGTTGGAATCGAACAGTAGTAAATCAAAAGATCAATAATATAGCATCTCGGTGTGTTTTGTTGATTCTTCGTCTTTCTGTACGTCACTTTTGACACACAATTCGTTGTCCAAACGAGTACAGTCCGATGTTCTTGTGAATTTCACTTCTACTGCCATGATTTTTATTTCATCTCATTTTCATACAGTCCAATCTTCGTTTCCGCAAATCAACATTGTTTATGTTTTGGAACCTGAAATTATTGTATTTTCCTAAACCAAACTGGCCATTAGCATTCGTTTTCACATGATGTAGCCTCATAACCGAGGCATTTAAGAGAAGTTGTTCATAACTTTGTTACAGATAGATTGTTTTTTTTTTTTGGAAATCGGGTATTTTTCATTGAAAAAATCTTTATTTTAGTACTCAAGATAGACATTTTCTTATCATAAATTAGGCCACGACATCTTCCTTCCCTATTGTTTCCAAGTAATTAATTATTTATTAATCATTCTGTCACTTCGACGTCATGTAGTTTGAGCAACTGACAGCGTCTTTAAACAAATAAACAGACTATTTCTGCTACGCTACCTTATTCTCTCATTCAAAAGTATCATGATATCGTGGCATTAGAGAGAAGACATCTTCTTCGTGATATAATTTGTAACGTTATTACAAATTTCATTATCATCATAAAGTAATCTTCTACTTCGTCAAGAACAGATCTCTTTCTTACAGAACCGCTTTCTAGCCGTTTACGATGTTCTTCCTACATTAGCCTATGTACAGAGAAGAGAGATCTGGCGTTTTCATATCAATTTCAACTGTTCACATCTGATTAGGTTTCCATTTTAGAGCTTATTGTCTCGCTATCAGGATCTCAGAATAAACGCCCTGGGGGTGAGGAATGTACGGGGGGAAGGAGAATCCGGAATTACCGGGAAGTGGGGGGGAGAGAGGGGTGGCGGACGCCTGTTTGTGAAAGGTAGGCCACACGGGGGGGAAACTCAACTATACAATGCCCTACCTCGTTCTCTTCCTCTCGTCGACTTATTTCGAGGAAATCCCATTTTCTAGGTGATTCCCCTCAGGGGAAACATTGCACGAACTCCCACTTCGTCCCAAACCGTTCCTACAATCTCGAAAACTTGGAAGAGAACAACGATAAACGATGTTTAAGAATTTCGAACTCTTATTATATTTTTGCCACCCCCCCCCCAACCCGTTCGTGGGATGAAGTGTTCCTTAATTATCTTGTAATGAGGTATCAGGGACATGAATATGTTCTGTCGTCATGGTCCTGCGTTATGAGTTATTCAGATCAAACAGATAAATACAATGGACAAGTATAGGAATCTGTAACTATTCTACCTCGAGGCAAAAGTTCAATTTGATCTAGAGGCGATTATTAAAAATTATGTTTAAAGCGTAAGAGGGATGAGACGACGAAATCTGGAGAAACATACGTAACGAGACGCCTCAAAGTGTTTACTCTTCACCAAATATTATTACGATGATTGATTGAAAGAGGGTGGGCGGAGCATGTAGAGCGCGTGGTGAGTTTAGAAATGCGTACAAAATTTTGATTGGAATACCTGAAGGGAATTCACTCCGTAAGATTGGAGTAGATGGGAGGATAATATTAAAATGTAGGTAGGAGGTAAGGACTGGATTCAACCAGCTCATGATACAGACTAGTGGCGGGGTTTTGCGAACGCAGAAATGAACATTTGGGTCTCATAAAATGAGAGTAATTTCGTGTAGTAGCTAAGCGTACTATTAGGTTGTCAAGAAGAATTCGGCTCCACGGAGTTATTTAGTTAGATCAAGGGAGAAATTTGCCACTTTAGTTTATTAGTTAGGACGTAAATTTTGTTTAGCGCATACATTATGTAAAAGTGTACTGCAGTACACAAAGCCTGTTGCAGAGAGGAAAAACTGTTCAAAGTTGTAAATTAAAGGAGCCGCTTAAGTTTCAAGGAGAGTAGGGATATTTTAGTGCGAACAGCTTCTGTGAAGACTTTATCTTGGCAACCGTCATTATGCACTACTCCGCCCAGTTGTGTAGACAGCAGTTTCCTCTACTCAGAACAATTTTTACAACGTTGTAAATTGGTCGCCGGCGGGTAGAGACGGCTAAATGGATTCATGTAGGCAGATAAACACGTGGCTTATTTGCAAATATTTGCGCCATAAATAAACAGAATAATAAATACACGTGTTCTCTGTCTGCCGGGGCATGTTGAGCTGCTGTTGCCGGACTCATAATCTACCCTCATTTCCATGTCTAAATTGTTTCCCTTCTAACTGAGGACTTTTATTCAATGTGTTCTCTAGGTCCATTAGATATACCTTCCTTATTTCACGGAATTCAAATGTGGTATAAAATTTTACGTACGAGTAGCACAACCAATATGATACCCCATAATAGCTATTGTACTGGGCTATACTATGGCCAGAACGTATATTGGGGTATAATATGACCAGATTATCTCCTTAATATTTCGTATTCTCTCGTATAACAAGAATGGTGTCCCCATGTACAGTCTGTATACTGTGTTATATACATTATCAAGAATTATATACCTTTATTTAATCAGAGACTAGGTTGTACTGTGACCAGATTAATAACCTCCTTACTGGACTACTGTATGTCTAGAGTAAAACCCTACTTAGTAGCTCGTATACTGGATTATATATTGGCCATAATGATACACCCTTAATAGTTTACACTGTTCTATATTAAGGCTAAATTTATATCCGTCTTTTAGCACATATACTGGGTACAACCATGGGCAGTATTATATCCTCATTAATATCTCGTGTACTCGTCTGTGCTGTGGCCAGTCTGATATCCTATAAATAGCATGAAAATGGGATAAACTATTATCATAATGATACTTCTCTTACTATCTTGTATACTGGGGTAGATACTATTATCCTGAAGTGTGTTTCGTTGTAATAGCCTATCATAAGAAATTCTTATTGGGGTTGTATGAATAAAGATTTCTCATTTTTATTCATGAAGTTGAATTTTTTTTTACGATAAATACCAATGAGAGTCTTGGGTTTGGGGAAGGGGAGTGTTTCTCTTGCTGTCATGGAAGCTTGCGGACAGTTTATTTTGACACTGGCTTGATCGTTCCTATACCATTCTACGAGTATGAAGACTTCGTACGATGGGGAAATGTAAGAAGACATCGGAGAACAAAGAACTTGGCAAGGGTCTTGTGTGGGTCGGTGGGCGACGAGACAGTCGGAAAGGACAATCACAACAAACAACCCTCACCCTTCTTTCCATTTTTCTAACACCAACAGCCACAGGGGGATACAGACAGCGAGCAAGTTTATCTTCCGTTGGTCCATCCCTCCTTTTGGCTGTGTGTATGCGTGTGATCTGAAATTGTGAGGAATCTGACGTCTTTTCATCGACTTTCGGTTTGAACACGTCCGTTTCCGCCTGGTGATGGTGACAGTTGAATGTCGGAGTAGCTGAATCAGAGGCGTACACGGTTAAACTACAGTCACTGCTCGGAAGCCTTCGTAGAAGCCGACAGTGGCTCACCTAATCCTTACATTCTCTGTAATTTCTTTAACCATTGGATTCATTGCCGTATTCACATAATATTGTCACTGAATCCACTCCTAAGCCATCTGAATCCATTCTATTAATCTGTCGAAACCTGTCATACCTGAACTATTCTCTTTTGACCTATCCAAACTAGCCTATGCGTGTCTGATGATCAGGTATATGATAAGATTTCAGGCAAAAAAGATTAATTAGAATATTTTGTTTCTAATCTTTCCGCAGTAAAACTGTGGGGACTCTGCTTTAATTTAGTAAATTCATTCCGTACCGCAAAGAAAACAACACTTCACCATTAAAAAGACCAGGTTTTTAACGAAGTTTATGGAGATAATCGCTGTTTACTATGAGAATTATACGAACTATGATAAAGTGCGGAATTACACATTGTAAAGTTAAGTTCGACGGATATGTACCACTAATCTATAAAGGTTTAATGGCGTTGTATGGATTAATACGAGATTATTATGAATGCGAACTTGGTCACGGAAGTGTCGTATTAAAATTTAAAGCTGTAAACCTCAATTATTTTTACACATACTTAGTGGTGAGTTAGAAATGAACTTGTGAATGCGTTCGGGAAAACGTAACACATTTCCTGTGTTCTACTAAGAAGAATATACTTCAAACAGTGTATGTTCATTTCAAAGTACGAGGAATCAAATGTCACTCAGTTGATATGTAGTCCACGACCGCTTCCTTGCACATACTTTCTAGTTCATTATTCACTATCATCCTCTGAGTTAAATAAAGAATAAAAAAGTCTATGTTGATAAGAGTGTGACTGAAGAAAAGACAGTTACATTTTAAAACGTAGATGCCGATCGGCAGCAGAAAAGTCTGTATACCTCGCTGAAGCCGTCAGAGATAATGAACTTCCAGACCTAATTCTATGAAGTCCAGTTAATAATATTATATCTTGTAAGGTGAGGTTGGTATGACTCGCAGTGGTATGTGCTCACGTGATTCAAATTCAATTATGAACGATATACAGCAAGAAACCGATGCAGTTTAAGTCTTAAAACATAAAATGGCCGACACCAGTTGTCACTCATAAATAGCATACTCCGAACACAGGTCTATTACTATCAAATAATGAGATTGGTTGGGTATGGAGCGCGAATGGGGGACATGAAAACTTCGTACAATATTTTGGTTAAAAATCTTGAAGGAAATAGTCCACTCGGAAGACCTTGACGTGGATGGTAGGGTATTAAATAAATCTTAAGAGAAATATGGTTAGAGGCTATGAAGCAGATTCATGTAGCTCAGGATATAGACCAGTAAAGGGCTCTTGTAAACATGACATT